CACACGGGACAGACGGAGCAGGCACGGTCAGGCTGGGGGTGTTCGATGTAGGATCAAGGAATGATCACTGAGGTGGGATAAGATTTCCAAGCTGAGGGCATTCTGGGTGTGCAGGGCATCACCTGCCCCTGGTGCCTGTGAGGATTCACCCCTGGAGAGGCCGTGGCCCAGGAGAAATCCCTGCCCCAGGAAAGGTCCCTGCCCCATCATGTATGTGTTTAGATCCCAGGGTAACCACAATCCGTGGAAATCTGTAATTAAACCAACACAAACCAAATCAGGTTCGTTATTAAGGTGCATAAACAGACTCCCCCTGAGCTGATGCAAACACCTCATCACCGACCCATCCGTGATTTTGTCATCTCAGGAAATAAACCATGGAGCGACGAGTGACGCCCCATCCCCGCAGCATCCCCACTCCCTGGCCGGGACCACACCTTTCCCAGCGACCTTGACACTCTCCTCTGGCTCGGGCAGCACTTTTAATCGGGATTCTGCCCTTGCTGCTCTCCTGCCTGCTGCGGGAGCAGACCTGGAGTCTCCAGCAGCCTCCGGGCGAGCCAAGCGGCGGCCGCAGCCAGCGAGCTTCGGGATCGGGGCTGCAGCCAGGGCGGCCTCCAGGAGGATCAACCCTCGCTGTTCATGAATTCCAGGCTGCTCCCGGGGCTGCCGTGTCCCCGTCCTCGCCAGAGATGGCAGCACGTCCCCAGCCAGGGCCGGGCTCCCGAGGAGCCGGGAGCCCCTGGATGTTCTCCACCCCAAGCTGCTCCCTCGGGCACCCCATTTTTCAGCGCCTCGACACGTACAGAGGCTTCGGGAGTTATGTCAAAGCTTAGATCCCCTCCTTACTGAGTGTGGGAAGCGTCAAAATAAAAGGGAAATATAAATTAATTAAGAATTGAAATGAAAAAAATGCCGACAACGCGCGGGTTGGTTGTAAATGTTGCTAAAAAAGAACCGAAAAGCTCCGGGAGCCCCAGCAGGGGAGGGGAGAGATGCCGAGGAGCCCTCCTTGATGGCATCCTCCCCCCAGGCTCTGCAGCGCTGTCATTGCCCTGGGGACCCTCGGTGCCAGCCGCTCCCGAGGGGACGGACCTGGCGCTTAATGCAGGCGACAAAAGAGAGGCGGCTCAGCCCGGGCTGCAGCTCCACGCCAGCCGTGCCCCTCTGGGGGCTCTTTTATGTCGCTGTCACCCTCCGGCGCTGCCCTGTCCCACGCTGTCACTGCTGCCACCAGCATCACCTCTCCCCGCATCCCGCTCCTTTCCTGGACATAAATCACTCCCAGGGTGTCTTGTGCTTTTTTTTTTTTTTTTTTTTTCAGCTCATGAAATCCAGGCACAACTTTGCTCAAGCTCATTTCCCGACAAATTGTTGCGCTTTTTTTTTTTTTTTTTTTTTTTAATATTGCCTCCTGCATTTTTCAGCTGCTCTGCAAGCAGGGAGGCTCGTGCCCGGGCAGGCAGCAGTGCCAGGGCTGCCAGCAGCCCCAGCCCACCCAGCAGTGGCTTCCTTTGCTTTTTAACCCACTCACCCAGCTGCTGGTATGGGATAACAGGACAGGGCACCAAAACCTGGCCCAGTGCTCAGCCCTGCTTGCCCAGGATGGGGAGTGAGGCTGCTGGAAGCTCCGGAGCACGAGATAAGGGGTGGGAAGGTTTGGAAGAGAAGTGTTGTCTGGATTTGTTAAACACAAGTCAGGATGGGGGTTTGGTTCAAAAGGGATGAAATCCACTCACACTCACAGGACTCCTCCACGTCCCTGGTGCCAGAGCCACCCTTTAAAATCCACCAGGGATGGAGCAGGATCCCAGCACCCTCCCCATCCATAGGCAGCAAACTCCAGAGGCTGAGCCCTCTCTATGTAGCTCATGAAACTTTCCTACAAGCCCAGAGAGTTTTTCCCAACTGGGCCAAGCCTGGAAATCTTCTTTTAGGGACAACAATGCCAATAAACCTTGAGAGGATGTATGAGATGCTGGAGTGTGTCCGGGGCAGGGAACAGAGCTGGGGAAGGGGCTGGAGCCCCAGGAGAGGCTGAGGGAGCTGGGAAGGGGCTCAGCCTGGAGCAAAGGAGGCTCAGGGGGGACCTTGTGGCTCTGCACAGCTCCTGCCAGGAGGGGACAGGGACAGAACAAGGGGAAACAGCCTCAAGCTGGATCAGGGCAGGTTCAGATTGGGTATTGGAGAAAATCTCTCTGCCCAGGGCAGTGGTGGAGTCCCCATCCCTGGAGGGATTTAAAAGCTGTGAGGATGTGGCACTTGGGGACATGGGTCAGCGGTGGCCTTGGCAGTGCTGGGGGAATGGTTGGACTCAGTGTCTTAGAAGACTTTTCCAACTTAAATAATTCTAGGATTTGAGATGGCCCTGGCTAGAGGCAGGACAAGAGCTAAACATGGAAGCAAAGGGAAGAAAACAAACACTTCCCAAGGCAGGACAGATTGTACCAAGCAGCCTGTTCCTGGTTCCAGCTCAGAAGGGGGAATGAAAAAACAAAAGCCCAGCAATTTTCCTATTATTGCAGAAAAATCCCATCAGAGACAACTGTCAGTGGAGAAGCCCGAAGCCCCAGAAGGGTATTTAAGGCTCCATTAGACTGCCAGGAAAATGAGCTCCAGAAGAAGCCAAAACCCCTTCCTGAGCTGTGACAGGGAACGCCAGAAAGGGGTGGGAGGCTGGGAAAAGCCTTGGAGCACCCTACAGGGTGCCTGCTGCTCGGAAAAGGGCTCTGGAGGGCAGACTGCAGCTGCCTGCATGGATCAGGGCAGGATTCAGCCCCAGCTGAATTTGTGGGAGGCACAAAGGAGGGCTGAAAATGCCAGGGTGCCACCCAGCCCTCTGGAATCAAACAGGATGGCTCCCACCGACAGATGTGCCCACGTGCCTGGGTGCTCTGCTGGATCAGGACTGCAAGCAGGGCTAAAAGAGCTCCTGGGATGTGTTTTCCTGGCCCACCCGTGGTGAGGTGGTCTGGGGTGGCTCAAACACCATGCCCTCCACCCCAGCCATTGATCTGACCATGGGAACAGAGCTGGGGCTTTGCCACCTCGTCCTCCCCAGCACGCTGAAGAGCCCTTTGAGCTGAGCGAGAGGAGAAAGCCAAGCCAGGCCTGGGAGTGGCCCCTCAGAGATGGAGGTGCTGTCACAAACCGCAGCTCACCCGGCCCCAAATTTCCTTTGCGAAGTTCCTGTTACAAAAGCGTGGTTTTTAAAATAACAGCCACAGCCACTCGCGTGCCTGCAGCCTGCTGCGGCCAGCCCTGCTGCAGTGTTCCACCCAGGTGCACGGAGCAAATCTGGAATTAAATTGTTTCAGTTGTTGGGACAGCCCCAGGGCCACGGGAGGGAAAAGGTTTTTTTTATTCTGGAAGTGACCTGTGAAGCACCAAGTGCTTCAGTAAAGGCAGCTTGAGTGAGGGCTGGTGTCCTGAAGGATGGAGGTGGCATCTGAGGCCACTGGGATCTAGCATGTGCATTTCCCACCCCTGGATGTGTTCCAGCTTGGATGAGCCTTGGAGCAGCCTGGGGCAGTGGAAGTGTCCCTGCCCATGGCAGGGGGTGGGACTGGATGGGCTTTAAGGTCATGGCCAGAGAAGCTGCACCCCGCTGGGGACCAGCGATGACATGCAGGACAGGGGGACAATGGGGACATGGCCTGGTGCCAGCCACGGGGCAGGGAGCTCTCCGTGGGTTCCTCTGGAGCAATGGGAATCTCCCTGCACAGCCGGGGCTCAGCTGGGCTCGGGGGGCTCTGGGGTTCTGTGCCCTGGGGCTCTGAGCTGGCCCAGAGCAGCACCGGGAGCCTCTGACCGTGCGAGGGGCTCCCTCACGGGCACTGGGATTGCGGGATTGGCACCGGGACAGAGTGAGACTCCATGCCCCAGGAGCCACACCGGGACTCCGGACCTGTGCCGGGATTGGCCGTGAGAGCGACCCCAGGCCGGCACCGGGACTGCTGAACCGGCACCGGGACTCCTGGACTGGCACCGGGAGTGCTGAACCGGCACCGGGAGTGCTGAACCGGCACCGGGAGCGCTGGGGCCGTGCCGGGATTGGCCGTGGGAGCCGCTCCCGGTCTGGCACAGGGACCGGTCGTGCCTCAAAGCCGCACCGGGCTCCTGGACCGGCACCGGGCTCCGGGACCGACCTCGGGCTCTTGGACCGGCACCAGGGCTGGCCACGGGAGGGACTCTCGAAGCCGCACCGGGCTCCTGGGCCAGCACCGGGTCCGGTCGTGAGAGGCGCTCCCGGTCGGGCAGCGGGGCTGGGTCACACCGGGCCTGTCCCAGCGATCCCGGGGCCGCCCCAGCACTCCCAGACCGGCACTGGGGCTCTCGGACAGCACCGGGACTGGCTGTGTCCGGGTCTTCCACACCGGTACCGGGACTAGCCGTGTCCGGGACTCTCAGACCCGTACTGGTACTGGCCGTGTCCGGGATTCCCACACCGGTACCGGGACTCTCAGACCCGCACCATCACTGGCCGTGTCCGGGATTCCCACACCGGTACCGGGACTGTCGGACCGGTACCGGGACTGGCCGTGTCCGGGACTCCCACACCGGTACCGGGACTCTCAGACCCGCACCATCACTGGCCGTGTCTGGGGCTCTCAGACCCGTGCCGGGACCGGCCGTGTCCAGGGCTCCCACACCGGTACCGGGACTCTCAGACCTGCACCAGGACTGGCCGTGTCCGGGTCTCCCAGATTGGTACCGGAACTGTCGGACCGGTACCGGGACTAGCCGTGTCCGGGACTCCCACACCGGTACCGGGACCGGCCGTGTCCCGGTCTCCCAGATTGGTACGGGGACTGTCGGACCGGTACCAGGACTGGCCGTGTCCGGGACTCCCACACCGGTACCGGGACTCTCGGTCCGTCCAGTGTCGGTCCGTGGCGTTCCCCGCCTCCGCTCGCTCCATCCCTGCGAGCGCGGGCCCGGGGGGGGTCGGGGCGGGCGGTGCCGGTGCCGGTGCCGGGGGGCGGCAGCGCAGTCGGGCGTGCGGCGGCGGCGGCGCGGGATGAACGGGACGGGCCGGGCGTACGGGAGCGACGGGGCAGCGCTGCCGGCCGGGGCTCGCCCGCTGGTCAGCGCCCTCATGTTCTCGGCCGGGCTCCTGGGCAACCTCCTGGCGCTGGGGCTGCTCCTGCGCGGCCGCCGCGGGGCCCGGCAGCGCCCGCCCGCGCTGTTCCACGTCCTGGTGCTGGCCCTGGTGCTCACCGACCTGCTGGGCACCTGCTCCGTCAGCCCCTTGGTGCTCGCTTCCTACCACCGCAACCTCACCCTGACCAGCCTGGCCCGCGGAGGGCACATCTGCCTCTACTTCGGCTTCGCCATGAGTTTCTTCGGCCTCGCCACCATGCTCATCCTCTTCACCATGGCGCTGGAGCGCTGCCTGGCTCTGGGGAGACCGTACTTCTACGAGCGCTTCCTGAGCCCCCGCACGGGCCTGGTGGCCCTGCCGGCCATCTACAGCTTCTCGGCCGCCTTCTGCTCGCTGCCGCTGCTGGGCTTCGGGCGCTACGTGCAGTACTGCCCCGGCACCTGGTGCTTCATCCAGATGCACCTGGATCCGCAGCGGAGCGACGGGGAGGCGGCGGGGCTGAACGTCACCTTCTCGCTGCTCTACGCCACCCTGCTCCTCTTCCTCATCGTGGCCGTGCTGCTCTGCAACCTGAGCGTCATCGTGAACCTGGCCCGCATGCACCGCCGCGGGCAGAGGAGCCGCCGGGTGGCCGGCACCGAGCAGCCCCGGGCGGCCGCGGGCTGCGGCCGGCGCATGTTCTCCATGGCCGAGGAGATCGACCACCTCCTGCTGCTCTCCATCATGACCATCACCTTCGTCATCTGCTCCCTGCCCTTCACGGTGAGTGGCGCTGGTTGTTCCCTCTCCCCAGCGCCCACATTTGTCTCTTGGTCTTTGTAAAGCTTCCCCCAAGTCTGCTGGCCAGACCTCGAGGGTTGGGGTGAAAGCTTGGGAGAGGCCAGCTCAGCCGTGAGCTTGGCAATTTGCGCGTCAGCTGGGAGTGGGGGGATCATTCCCTGTGTCCCCACGGCCAGGAGGAGGATGGGGGATCAGGATCACGGGGGGCAGGAGCATGGAATGGCAGGAGAATGGGGTGGCAGGAGGATGGGGTGGTGGGAGGATGGAGTGGCAGGAGGATGGAGTGGCAGGAGGATGGAATGGCAGGAGCAGAGGTGCCCTCCCACCCCACAGAGGCTCCGAGGCCAGGCCTGTGACTCAGGCAGGGTCCCCTGGACCACACGGCATCACTGCGATTCCCAGGATCCAGGAACTCATGGTGGAGGTGTGAGGAATGGCAAAACAACCAACCACATTTCTAGAGAGGGGATGAAGGAGCTGCCCTGGGCTGGAGGCAGTGGATATCCATGCTGGGCAGGATGAGTTATCCCAGATTTCTGTGGATGGAGCTGGAGATGTGAGAGGCTGTGCCCACCTCGCTGTCAGACAGAGGTTTCTGCTCCTCTGCAACAGCACTGAGGCGCTGGCACAGAGATGGGAGATTTCTGGGAACAGAGATCTGGCACAGCAGCCACAGCACGTGTCATCCCAAGGGACATCCCCACATCCCGTGCCCCATCCATGCACGAGGCTTCCAGCAGAAATCCGGGATCAAAACAGCCAAGTGAAGAAGTGGAGAGAGCGAGTGCCCTGCCTCTGTCTGGGCTGTTCCCTCCCAAGGGCCACTTTTCATCCATCCAAGTGCTTTTCCACCAGGAGCATCGATGGCTCCAGAGCCTGGGTGTGTGATCCCCCAGTGCAGCTCAGTTTGGTCCCTGAAGAAGTGACCCCAGCAAGGCTGGGAGCACAGCCAGTGCTAATTTCACACTCTTGGTGTTAAACAGACTCTACCTTCCCTTCATCCTCCCTTGCTTTTCCTAAGGGAAAAGGAAATAACCACAGGATACGGCCGAGCCAGGGTTTTAGACAAAGGAATAATGTCCAGATGCTCGTGAGCATCCCAGGAGCCTCAAGGCCCTGAGAGACACTCCAGCTCCTGACCGTGAACCCACAGATGATGGACAGCTCTTCCTGTGTCCCAAAAAAGCGCCGGGTTGGCTGCTGTGGTCAGCAGGGAGCGGAACCCCTCGGTGGGGACACGTGGGCATGGCCCTGTGAGCGTGCTGGGGGCAGAGGGGCTGGGAAAGCAGCCCTGGCCGGGATCCCAGGGCCCTGTGGTGGCAGATACGGCCTTATCCAGAGCCAGCTTCCCTTTTCCCATCGCCCGGCTCCCATGTGGGGCCGCGCTTTGGCAGCGCCTCAACCCCAGCTGCCTCCTCGGGGTGACACTTTCTCTCCTGTCCCCCGGCTGCCCACAGCAGCCACCGCTCCTCCCAGGAGGAGCCCGGCCACACAAACCCGCCGGGCCACGAATTCCTTCCCAAAACACACCGGAGCTTGGAAATGCCGCGTGGATGCGCCGCGCCGGCGTGGTACCCGGCGGGTGCCGGGCAGGGGAGGGATGCTCCTGCTGCCCGGCCCCATCCAAGCCTGTCCCCAGCCCGGAGCGAGGGGGTGGCGGGTGACCCGGGTGAGTAAGGAGTGCTGAGTCACCCTTCCAGGAAGCCCCGCGGGCTGGGATGAGTCGGCAGGAGCAGGAAGGAGCGGCGGGGTCCCGCAGCGCTCATCCTCTCCGTGGTCTCCCACGGTTCTTGCTGCTCTCAAGGTGAGAGACGCCGCTTCCTGCAGCCACGGAGGGAGGCTCCCCACTGATTGTGGCTCTGAACGAAGCGGAGCAGGAGGCTGGCTTGCGTTTAAAGTTCATTCAAACCCATGGAGTCAGCGAATTTGCTGTGGCGGCCCCAAAAGAGCTGCCCGGGCGGCAGATTTGGGGAGCCCAAACTCGGGATTATTTCTGCCTGTGATTTCTCCCTGGTTGAGGGAGGGGATTGTGAGACCCCGCTGCAGGGCTGTGTCCAGCTCTGGGGTCCTTCCAGCACAGGAAGGACCTGGAACTGTTGGAGTGAGTCCAGAGGAGGCTGATTAAAGGGATGGAGCAGCTCTGCTGTGAGGAAAGGCTGGGACAATGGGGATTGCTGACCCTGGAAAAGAGAAGGGTTTGGGGTAACCTAATGATGACATTCCAGTACTTGAAAGGAGCTATAGGGAACATGGAGGGAGACTCTTTACAGAGGCCTGGAGTGACAGGACCAGGGAGAAATGGATTCAAACTGACAGAGAGGAGGTTTAGATGGGATATCAGGAAAAAAATCTTAACTGTGAGGGTGGTGGAGCCCTGATGCAGATTGTCCAGAGAAACTGTGGCTGGAAGGGTTCCAGACCAGGTTGGATGCACCTCCACCAAGCAGCACTGACAGAGCCACGGGACACAGCCTCCAGCTGTGCCAAGGGAAATACAGGTTGGATATCAGGAAGAAGTTTTTTCCAGAAAGGGTGATGAAGTTCTGGAATGGCTGCCCAGGGAGGTGGTGGGGTCACCATCCCTGTGTCATTCTGTGATTTCTGTCTTTCTGTGATTTCTGTCATTCTGTGAATTCTGTGAATTCTGTGAATTCTGTCATCCTGTGATTCTGTGAATTCTGTCATTCTGTCATTCTATGAATTCTGTCATTCTGTGAATTCTGTGAATTCTGTCATTCTGTCTTTCTGTGATTTCTGTCATTCTGTGATATCTGTCTTTCTGTGATTTCTGTCATTTTGTGATTTCTGTCATTCTGTGAATTCTGTGAATTCTGTCATTCTGTCATTCTGTGATTTCTGTCATTCTGTCATTCTGTGAATTCTGTGAATTCTGTCATTCTGTCATTCCGTGATTTCTGTGATTCTCTGAATTCCGTCATTCTGTGAATCCCGTGAATTCTGTGGACGGGCCTCGCCTGAGCCCAGCCTAGCAGCACCACAGGGGCCTAGGTGACTCTTAACCCCCTTTCCACCCCTGACTCCCCAGATCCGCGCCTACGTGAACAAGTTCCGCCAGGAGCAGGGCGACCACGAGTGGGACCTGCTGGCCCTGCGCTTCCTCTCCATCAACTCCATCGTGGATCCCTGGGTCTTCGCCATCCTGCGGCCGCCCGTGCTGCGCCTCATGCGCTCCGTGCTCTGCTGCCAGGTCACCCCCACGGCCCCGGGTGGCCACGCCGTGTCCTCTGCCGTGACAAAGCTGCCGGCGCGGCCGCAGTAGATCCAGGGGGATCCTGCCTCCTGACGGGCAGTTCTGGGCCCCTCAGCTTGGGAAGGATGTTGAGATGCTCGAGTGTGTCCAGAGGAGGCAACGAGGCTGGTGAGGAACACAGATCCTGTGAGGGATGGCTGAGGGAGCTGGGGGTGCTCCGCCTGGACAAAAGGAGGCTCAGGGGTGCCCTCCTCGCTCGGCACAGCTCTGAAAGGTGCCTGTGCTCAGCTGGGCTGGGCTCTGTCTCCAGCACTGACACAACCAGAGCACCCAGCCTCCAGCTGTGCCAAGGGAAATTCAGGTTGGATATCAGGAAAAAGTTTTTTACAGAAAGGGTGATAAAGTTCTGGAATGGCTGCCCGGGGAGGTGCTGCAGTCACCATCCCTGGTGTGTTTAACAAAGCCTGGATGTGGCACTGGGGGCCAGGGCTGGGTTGAGCTGTTGGGGCTGGGTTGGACTCCATGATCCTGAAGGTCTCTCCCAACCCAGGGATTCTGGGATTCTGTGAATACTGTGAAGCTCTGCCTCAGGGCTCACCCAGAGACGTGGCTCTGCAGCCTGGGCACGCTGGGGGTGGCTCAGGTGTCACCTGGGAGGTGACTGCGGCCTCTCACAGGGACAGAAGTGCAGTCCCCCTTTAGTGGGACAAGGTTGGAAGGGCTGGTGAGTCCCTGGGTGCTGCTGGCACCCTTAGGGCTGGAGGAGGGCTCAGCCCTGCTGGGGAGGGTTGGGGGTGAGGCTTGGGGGGTTTTGTTGTAGCCCCACGGTTGGGGGGTGATGGGAAGCAGAGGTTCCTGCTGGTGTGCTTCCCAGCAAGGTCTCCGTGGGTTTTTGGGATGCAGGCAGGGCTGCAGCTCCTGGAGATGGGGCTGGGTGGCTGCAAACACCCATCTGGGCCCCCAGATCCATAAGGATTGGGAAGGACAGGAAGGGAGCAGTGTATCCTCAAAAATCCCCCCTTGTTTTAGGCTGGTTGCCTAAAAAAATGCACTTTTCAGGGCCAGGTCTGTGTGCTCATGTCTGTCTGTCTGTCCGTGCCACACCCCTGAGATTTTAGGCACTGGTGGGTCCCTGAGAGGCACTGAAGTACTAAAAAAGCCAAATTTTGGCGCTTCCCTGGTGCTGTGATGGAGCAGAGCAGCCCCTCCTCAGCACCCATTTGGAAATTCCCTTTGCCCTGTGATTTTTGCAAGAGCCAACAAAGGGAATGAAGAGCCTGACCATGGAATGGTCACAGCCAGGAGCTTCACCCACACCCAGGGTGGTGCTGCTGGTGGGGTTTGGGTTTATCCTTGATTGGGACGAATATTTCTTTAAAATAAAACCTCAAAAAAAATCAATAAAAGCAAAAAACCGACTGCAAAAACCATCCAGCTCATCAATCCTGCCCCGTTGGGCAGCACCCTTCAGCACCACTATTTTATTTTCTGGGATTCCTCTTGCTCTTTGGGACTCCAGGATCGTTCCCACTGGGATGAGGAGCACCCAGCTCCACATCCCAAGGCCACCACTGCCATTAGGAATTTTCTTGTGGCTCCCATCTGAGCAGCATCCACCACACCCAGTGGCATTTGTGCAATTCCCAGTGTGGAGTCTTATTTTTGGGAGCTGCAGCTCTGCTCAGGGAGCCCAAAGGTGCTGAGATTTGGGGCTTTTCCATGGTTTGTGAGTCGAGGTGATGTAAAAAAAAAATAATTAAAAAAAAGAGTTATTATTTAAATAATAAATGTCTCTCAAAGGAGCCTGCTGAATCATGCGTGGGTTTGTGCTTGTGATGCTCCTCAGGGCAGATCTGGCTCCTGGAGGAAATGTGTTGGATGTGGGATGAAACCACGGGAATGGGGGGAGAGAGCAGCAGGAGAGGCTGGCAGGGGGAAGTGGCTGCCTCCAATTCCCTAAAAAGTGGCAATAAAATGTATTTTACAGATGCAGAATGACATTTTTTACCAGAGCTGCAGAGTTTCCTCCCCCATTTCTGAGCTCTTCCCTAAAACCTGCCTATCCCACAGGCAGGGGGAGGCAGGCAAAGCTCCCACCTGTTATCAAAACACCACCCCCAAAAATACCCACCCTAAAAAAAGGCAGAATTGAGATCACTTCTGTCAGGCAGCCAACGGCCACAGGAAGTCTCCTGGCCTCCCAAATTTGTGTGGGCAGATGGCAGCCAGGGGCTGCTCGTGCTCAGATGAGTTTTTGGCAGCACCCCGTGGCTGGGGGGCTTTGGGGGGGTGTGGAATTTTAAGGATGGGGTTTCCATACGTGCCTGCCCATGGGGGTGAAGCTGGGGTGCTCCCCACACCCATGGAATGCCTTGGTGCCAACCTTGGGAACCCAAATTTGGCACCATCCCACCCAGCACTGGGAGGGCACAGTCGTCCCTTCCCAAATTATTCCCTCATCCATGCCCACAGCAGGAGGAAAAGCACGTTCTGGGCTCAGTTTTGGGGCTTCCATCATGTCTCAGGGTGTGCTCAGCTGGAAAAGGAGCCAAAAACTTTAGGAAGAGCCTTGGGTCCTTGAACTTTATTTATCTGGGTGGTCGTGACCTGGTTGCTCACGCTGGAATTTCAGGACCAGTTGCCTAATTCTCCTCTAAGCCAGAGGGAATGGCTGCCTGGAGCGCAAAAGATAGAAAGAAAATTTTTAGAAAAATGGCAAAAATGTTGGAAATGGCAAGGAGGTTTCATCCTGCAGGGACCAGCGTGCCAGGGAATGTGGCAGGGTGGGAGGGGAGCCCAGCAGGAGCCGTGGCACAGCCCAAAGGCAGGATTCTCCCAGAATCCAAGGATTCACTCCTGCCAGCCCCCAGCTCCTCTGCTGACCACTAATTAGCAGCTGCTGGTTTTTTTTGGGAGGTTTGTGGCTCCTCATCAGGAAATGCAGGGCTGGGAGAGAGCCTCCCAGCATCCATCCCCTGGGATTGACTTTTTGCTGCAGGAGAGGCACTCTCCCCTCCATCAGGGCAGCAATCCTGGCAAGCAGGCTCAGGGAAATGATTTGGATCAAATTCAGTGCCAAAATAAGAGGGAAATTGCAAGGAGAGGAACCCCTTAAACCTGAGTCCCTTTGCCAGGACACATCCTGAGCTGCTGGCCAGGGATTACGCCCAAGCTCTGGAATCAAAAACCTCCTCCTTTCCCTGCTTCCAAAGGAGAAAAGGGCCCCCACCAGGGATCTGTGGGGACTGGGAGGACTGTGAATCTCTGTGTCCTGAGCCATGAGCCTGCACAAAATGCCGCTTTTATTAACGTCACGCAGGAGCCCTCGGAAAAAGCAAATTAATTTGCCTCTCATCAGCTCCCTCAGCGTCTGCTCAGCTCAGATCCACGATGACAAAGTTTCATTTCATTGCCTGTGCTGGCCATTAATGAGTTTTTTATTCCCACACCGGAAACCTGCTGGCACAGGGAAGCTCCAGGCAGGTCTTTAATCCTGCGTTTCCATCTGGGGATCTGCTGCTGGGCAGGAGGGAGGGAGGAGCCGTTCCTTGGAGACAACAGAGGGCATCAGCTGCCCCTCAGGCTTCCTGAAAATGGTGAGATTTTCCACAGTGCCTGGGGGTGCAGGGAGTGGGGATCTTGTCCAAAATCCGCCATAGAATCACGGAATGGTTTGGGATGGAAGGGACCTTGAAGATCCCATTCCACCACCTATCCACACCTCCCACCATCCCAGGCTGCTCCAAGTCCTGTCCAGCCTGGCCTTGGGCACTTCCAGGGATCCAGGGGCAGCCACAGCTTCTCTGGGCACCCTGGGCCAGGGCCTGCCCACCCTCACAGGGAAGAATTCCTTCCCAATATCCCAATATCTTCCAAATTCCCAATATCTGATCTCTGCCAGTGCAAAGCCCCTTCATTCTGGCACTTCAGCCCCTTGGAAACAATCCCTCTCCATTCCCAAGTGATGGTGATGCCACACCATGGTTTTGGGAGATGGGCATTTTGGGAGAGTAAAGAAAGGAAAAGCACTTCCCTCCTGCTTCCTCCCTTCCTGGCTTGTTTGGAACATCTCCCCCCATTGCTGTGCTGTCAGCAGGGAGGAAACTCTCATTTTTGGGCTGTTTGGCTGTGGTTTTATGGGGGCCACAAAAGCCCCTTGGCCCCATTCAGGGAGATCAGGAAATGGGAGCAATATTTGGAACACCCTAAAAATGGGGGCTAGGGATGGGATGGGATGGGATGGGATGGGATGGGATGGGATGGGATGGGATGGATGGGGATGAGATGGGATGGATGGGATGGGATTGGGATTGGGATGGGATGGGATCCATGGGATGGGATTGAAATTGGGATGGCATGGCATGTCATGGCTGCAGTGCTGTGTCCAAGCCCAGCATTCCTGCAGAGCACTTCTGGAATTTCTGCTCCAGACCTTTGGGATGCTGGAAGCAAAGCTGAGCTGCCTTTCCAGGCACAGGAACCCTCCCTGGGCTGCAGAGGGTGTGATCCATGTTAAATTGGATTAAGTTAATCAGCCAAGGAAGTGATTTACGGGGACATGGCATGGCTGGGCTTCCCATCTGGCTCTGCAGTGCTTCCAGGGCTTCCCATGACACAGGAAAATGTCACATGTGGCTTTACCACTGCTGCCTTCTGCTTTTGCAGCTGGTTTTGCACCTCTGCATCCTCACATATTCATGTGAAACCTTTCCCCTGAGTCCCTCAGGTCACCCCACAGCAGAATGATTCCATTCTGAAAGAGGGATCAGCCTTTTCCAGGGATTGTTTGTGGCATCCCAAACTTCAAAGGCTTAAAACCAGAGCCTGGTTCCCAACACTGAGACCCAAAATGAGTAATTTGTGGCTTTTCCCTTGTCACTGTGAGGGGTTCTGAGACCTTGGAAGCAGCAGGGCTGGGCAGAATTACCTAAAGTGAGACCAAACACACCTGAGAGATCCAGAGCAAACTTTTGTGTGGGCATAAATTCCTTGCGCCACATCAGTTTTAGCTGGGAATCCTGCAGTGGAATCCATGGGCTGGGATCCCTGCATCAGCCCCACCACCCTCCCAGCCAGGAATTCCTTCCCAGTCTCACATCAATAACTGTCTTCTGGCAGTGGAAACCATTCCCTGTGTCCTGTCCCTCCATGCCTTGTCCCCAGTCTCTCTCCAGCTCTCCTGGAGCCCCTTCAGGGCTCTAAAGACTCCCTGGAATCTTCTCCAAGTGAAC